GCAGTTTTACCACCCCTCCTCTCGTCGTGTTCTGTCCTCCCAGGACGTCACGTTCGACGAGTCAGTTCCCTTCTACCGCCTCTTCCCCTACCGCACTCCTTCCCTCCCCCCTCCGCCGGACTTCCTTGTGCCGGTTCCCCCCCCGGTAGACCCCCTCCCCCCTCAGGTTCCTGCCCCCTCAGGTGTGTCCCAGGTAGACGCAGTTGACCCGGTCGAGGTTACTGGTGACTCTGGTGCTGCTGCGGGTGCTGAGCCTTAGGGTGCTGACTCTGGGGGTGCTGAGCCTGGGGGTGCTAGGCCTGGGGGTACTACTGCGGAGGGTGCTGAGCCAGGGGGTGCTGTGCCTGGAGCTGCTGAGCCTGGGGGTGCTGAGTTGGGAGCTGCTGAGCCTGGGGGTGCTGAGCCTGGGGGTACTACTGCGGAGGGTGCTAAGCCGGGGGGTGCTGTGCCTTGAGCTGCTGAGCCTGGGGGTGCTGAGTTGGGAGCTGCTGAGCCTGGGGGTGCTGAGCCTGGGGTTTCTCCTGCTGCTGCGTCTCGACGGGAGCCCCTCTCTCCACAGGAGCTGCGCGAGTGGTTTGCTCGCCGCTAGAGGCGTGCTGCTGGACCTGGAGCTTCTTCGACAGTCGAGGGTGCTGGTGCTGCCGGTCCCGGAGCTGCTGGGCCTGCGGGTCCTCCTGGAGCTGGAGCTGCTGAGGGGGTTGGTGCTGAGACCACTGCTGTCTGTCCTCGCGGTGGTTCTGCTGCTGGTACTGCTGGAGGTCCTGCCGCTGGAGGTGTTGGTGGCGCTGGTACTGTCGCTGAGGGTGCTGGTGCTGTCCCTGCTGAGTTTGGAGCTGCCGCGCAGCCTCGGCCGTACTTCGTTCCGCTCCCGCAGCAGGTTCTTGGTCTTTCTCCTCCGGTAGAGTGTCCGCAGCCTGTCCAGTCGCAGTCACTGTTGGAGCCTTCCTCTCCTCTGCCTGCTCCCTCTCCTTACACTGGTCCTACTGGAGGTCTTACTGAGCGTCGTGAGCCTGCGTCTCGTCCCGCGTCGCCTGTTCGTACTGCTCGCGCTAGTGGTCGCGGTTCGCGTCAGCGTCCTCCTCCTGTCCCTGGCACGCACCGGATGTCTCTGCGTCCGTCCACTGCTCCTCTGCGTGCCCCTTTGCCTTCTCCTCCTGAGTCCTCTCTTCCTGCGCTTGCCGACCCTAAGTCGGACTCTCTTCGTGCTGCCAGTCCTACTGTCACGCGTCTGCTTGCTACTGTCATCACTGACCCCTCGTTTGAGTCCACTGCTGCGTCTGCTCTTGTCGCTGAGCTCGTCGACTTTGCTGTTTGCTGTCGTCTAGACTACGCTGCTAGTCTTGTTGCTGAGTCTGCGTCTGTCTGTCCTCCGTCCGTCGGGGGTGAGTGTGCTCTTGGCACGGACGTCCTAGAGGACAGGCAGGAGGAGTTACAGTGTCTGGCTGCTGCTTCACCTCATCTCGCGTCTGTATTGCTTGCTCCTGAGGGAGACCCGGATGCACTAGACATCCCGACTCCGCGATCTTACGCGGAGGCCGTAGAGGGTCCCTACTCCTCTCAGTGGCAGGCAGCTATGGATGCAGAGATGGCTTCCTGGAAGTCCACAGGCACCTACGTTGACGCAGTTCCCCCTCCTGGGGCGAACATCGTCAGTGGCATGTGGATCTTCCGGGTGAAGCGGCCGCCGGGCTCTCCACCTGTCTTCAAGGCGCGGTACGTTGCTCGTGGCTTCAGTCAGCGGCAGGGAGTTGACTACTTTCAGACCTTCTCTCCCACCCCGAAGATGACCACTCTTCGGGTGCTGCTGCACATAGCCGCTCAGCGCGACTACGAGCTTCACTCTCTCGACTTCAGCACTGCGTTCCTGCAGAGTAGCCTGCACGAGGAGATCTGGCTGCGCCGTCCACCTGGCTTCACTGGGACTTTCCCTCCTGGCACCCAGTGGAGCCTCCGACGGCCAGTCTACGGTCTTCGCCAGGCACCGCGTGAGTGGCACGACACACTGAGGACTACGCTTGCGGCTCTTGGGTTTGCTCCGTCTACTGCTGACCCGTCGCTGTTTCTGCGCACCGACACTTCACTCCCGCCGTTCTACATCCTCGTGTACGTCGACGACTTGGTCTTTGCCACAGCGAACACTGCTGGACTCGCCTACGTGAAGTCCGAGCTACTGAAGAGACACACGTGCACAGACCTGGGTGAACTGCGCAGCTACCTTGGCTTGCAGATCACTCGGGACAGAGCACGCCGCACCATCACCTTGACTCAGTCACACATGGTGCAGCAGGTCCTTCAGCGCTTCGGCTTCACGTACTCCTCGCCTCAGGCCACTCCTCTGTCTACTCGCCACTCGCTCTCAGCTCTGCCTTCGTATGAGTCCGTAGAGTCGAGTGGCCCGTACCCAGAGCTTGTTGGCTGCCTCATGTACCTGATGACCTGCACTCGACCTGCCTTTGCATACCCTCTGAGCATTCTTGCACGCTATGTTGCTCCTGGGAGACACCGACCAGAGCACATGGCTGCAGCGAAGAGTGTATTGCGCTACCTGTGCAGTACGTCGGGCATGGGGCTAGTGCTTGGAGGGCGGAGTCCAGTGGTCCTTACAGGCCACGCGGACGCATCTTGGGCTGACGACCAGGCTACGCAGCGGTCGTCACAGGGTTACACCTTCAGTCTTGGTTCCGGCTCTGTCTCTTGGCGGTCTACTCGTTCGTCTTCGGTTCTCAGCTCCAGTTGTGAGGCTGAGATCTACGCCGGGGCCATGGCTGCACAGGAGCTTCGCTGGCTCACCTACCTGCTGACTGACCTTGGAGAGCCGCCTCGTTCTCCTCCAGTGCTGTACGTAGACAACAAGGCCATGCTGGCCTTGTTTCAAGAGCAGCGCTTGGAGCACAGAACGAAGCACATTGCTCTCCGTTACTTCCTTGCTCGTGAGCTGCAGCAGCGTGGTCAGTTGCGACTTGCGTACGTGGCCTCTGAGGCCAACACTGCTGATGTGTTCACCAAGGCACTCGCGCCTTGTGACCATCAGCGCTTCTGCACCCAGCTGGGTCTTGTGCCTGTCTTGCCTCACTTGCTCTCTTCTTGACTTTACTTGTACTGTGACATATATATACCTGCTCCTGCTTGTCTAGTTTTATATATATGTCTGTACTCCTGCATGTGAACTGGCCTCTGGCCCTGCTCTTGTGCTCGGACTGTGTGGTGACTTTGTGATCCACCCTGAGCTTGCTTTGCTTTGCTTTGCTTGACTGGTCTTGTGACCCCTTGTTCTCCCCCACTTTGCCTATGGGGGTGTGTCAGATTATTATAGCTGATACATGTTTGTAGGCTATAGTGGGGTAGCACATATGGGGTACAGCTTTCTAGGGTTGTATTTGAAAATCAGTTATTTCCACATCATCCTGTACAGAAAGGGTGCCGTGCAAAACACCATTATACTGGACCACAAGAACCCTGAATCTGATGTATATCTATTCTCCGACGCTGGGTTTCGATCCATACACCTCATTTTACTATACTTACGAGCTGAGACACAGCTAAATGACTTCTCAATGTATCAAATTTAATCAGACGTTTTTTCAAGGCACCAAAAATTTTACCCTGCCACAGACAGACTCAACGGTCATCTACCCTGAATTTGTCCAGGTATTTTGTTTTTTACCCTAGCAGTCTGGGTAGGCCCGGTTCGGACCCTGATTTCCCAGGGTGGCCAAAAACCAATTTTGGGCCCTGTCGAAGCACCAGCGTCCATACTTTCTCCCAACTCCCTCGACCCCCCTGCCCCACTCCCATGCACGCTCTCAGCTCCCCATACTGCTAGGTTGTGACGCGATTCTTGCAAACTAAGGCACCGCCACGTGGTTCTATTCGGGGTTGCAGGGATGTGTGGCTGTGGGGTTGCAGGGTGCTCTTTGCTGTGGTGCTCCGCGTGCATCCTCTGTTGAGCCCACCTTGAACCAATCGTGCACGAAGTTCCATTGCCACAGCTCTTGTTGCTCGCTCACGCCACCCCTCACAATGCTGCTCGTGCCTCCCACGCCTCTGTGCACGCATGCATATTCATATGTGTGCACGTGAATGTATATGTGTGCGTGCGTGCGTGCATTCTGTTCGTGTAGGAGGGTGGTGGTGAGGCAGGCGTCGGAGAGACTGCGGCCACACATGGAGAGACGCACGAGCTGCCGGGGGGAGAGGGGGGGAGGGGGGGAGAGGGGAGGGAGGGGAGGGAGAGGGGGGATGAGAAGTTAAGCGGAGTCTGTTTTTGCGTTCTCTTGAGAAACACACACGGAGGGACGGATGAGGGGGGTTGGTGGGGAGGAGCTAGGGGATGGGGGAAGGGAGCGTGGCGAGAATGAAGGGTAGAGGGGAGGAGGATGGGAGTGAAAAAAACGGAATGAGGGAAGGAAGGTTGGAGAAGAAAACGGGTTCAACGGGGAGAGGAGGACGGCATACAGTGATGGTGGTGCCAGCACGGTCGCAAGAGATAACAGGTGCCTTGCAAAAGGATGGGAGAGGAGGGAGTGGCAGGGTGGAAAGGGGCCACTTATTGAAACGTAAACGCGCCAATTGATTGTCCAGACAGTCAAACGCAAGACCCTAATTCACCCATGGCTGAAGGGACTCGACCCTCAGTAAACAGGCGGCTTTGACTTGCGATGCTAAAATGATTCAGTACAAATAAACGTCCTATTAACTACACTAGTCTATAGGTACAGTGTGTGTACGAGTGCAGTACAATCGTGGACAGATACCACAGCCTCTAGGAGCACCCACCCGTCACATGAGCCTCAGACAGGCACACTCGACAGCCATGCAGATCAACGAGTTCTAAACACCGCATCTCACCTAGACGAGCACAAGCTAACTTTCCTGCTCAATTCACCTCCCTTCTCCTCACCTTGCCTCACCCCACTTTCCCCACCCAACACGAGGTATATGATACACCCAGGCGCAGAGCGCCGTGAGAGCGCTCACCTCCAGCTTGGCAGCATCGCAGGTCAAGAGCGCGCGGTACAGGTCCCCCTCGCCACAGCCAGCTCCGCCGCCACGCCGCCCACCAGCAGCAGCAGCGCGGGGTCATCCAGCCGCCTCTGCCGCCTCTGCGCGGAAGCGGAGGGGGCGGAAGCGCCGGCGACTGGAAAGGTTTCGCCCGCGCCCGTGCGGCGAGCGGAGGAGAGGCGGGAGGAATCATCGAAGTGGGCGAAATGGGCGGCCCTCTGCCGTGTGATGGAGAGGAATCGACGGCGTGCCACGTCACCCGCATCCCACGCTAGCACCGCCTCCGTCAACGAGTCTCGCGTCAGCGCTAGCATGTCCAGAATCCGTCCCAGCTGTAGCGCTATCGCCAGGCGTACGATGATCGGCAATAGTGGCATCCGCAGAATCATCAGCTGTACGATCTACAAGCACTCTAGGGAAGCCTCCCTCGGCACGTTCATCAGGCCGTTCATGGCCATCCGTTCAGTCGAGCTCATCGCCGTTCAAAGCGGTAAGAACCGGTGCATCCCTGGGAGTGCGCTCGGCGTCATCTGTGTCGTCCTCTGCGTCGTGAAAGGAAGCTATGGGTGGCGTCACACGGCTCTCAGCGACTCCTCACGGCATGGATCTCGTTCGCACACCTCGCGAACCGTCGCTGAACGACTGCTCCAAGGGTTCTCGCTGCACCATTTTGACAAGCTAGTGAAGTATCGTCAAACGTTCTGCGTGGTTTGTAGTCGGGAAGGTTAGGGTTTTTGTCAAAATCTTTCGCGAACGTCGACCAAATGGGCAACAGAAAGTCAATAATTAGACGGTCCTAAAAATTGTTTGCAAATTTGACAGGCTGGTTGGCCGATTTGCTGCCCGTTTTTTGATTGTGTTTTGTAATTCGGGTGCTGGGCTTTCACTTCAAGTGCATAGGAACTTCAATTGTAAAAGCAGAACACCCATGCAGCCTCAAACGGGTACCTAAGTAGACAACTTGGAGCACTTCGTGAGAACAATGGATGGACCAACCTCCTCAAACTCGCTCTTCGTAATACACATCTGCATCACCAAGGGTCTATCAGTGCAAAAAAAGAATCAAGGAAGCCATAGAACAATAGAAAATGCAGAAAACGCATACCTGCTGGAAGGTGCTCAGAGACGCATACATGGATCCACCAATCCACGCACTGTACTTCCGCTCAGGTGGAGCAACCACCTTAGTGTACATGGTGGGTGCCAGCTGAGTCACTTCCTTGGTCATGCGAGCAGCGATTCCAGGGATCAAAGTGGTGCCGCCGCTGAGAACAATGTTGCTGCACAGGTCCCGCCTGATACCTTCGTCACACTTCATGATGCTGTTGTAGCACAGCTCATGAATACCACCCGAGCCTTCCTTTCCAGCCAGCGACGGGTTGAAGAGCGCTTCTGGGCACCTAAACCGCTCAGAACCAACGGTAATAACCTGGCCATCAGGAAGCTCATAACTCTGCTCCAAAGTAGACGAGCTGTCTACAGTCGCCATCTCCTGTTCGAAGTCAATTGCAACGTAAGCGAGCCTCTCCTTGATGTCCCTCACAATCACCCGCTTGGCAGATGCGCAGGAGTAAACCCTCTCACCTAACAGCGAAATCAGGTAATCAGTCAAATCACGTCCGGCAAGATCCGAACGGAGAGTCGCGTCCGGCAGAGCGTAACCCTCGTGGATGGGGACAGCGTGGGTCACACCATCACCGGATTCCAGAACCATACCTGAAAACCAAAGCAGGATATTAGCAGCAGAAACACATTGCAAATGCGACTGCATGGAGAAACAAGCCAGAACTTACCAGTGGTATGACCGCTGGCATATAAGGAGAGCACGGCCTGAATGGCGACATACACCGCCGGCACGTTGAAAGTCTCAAACATAACCACCGTCATCCTTTCGCGTTTCGCCTCGGGATTCATAGGAGGTTCAGTCAGAAGCACTGGACGCTCTTCTGGAGTGACACGAAGCTCATTGTAGAAGATGTGGTGCCAAATCTTTTCCATGTCGTCCCAGTTCGTCACAATACCTGGAACGTCAAAACACGCGAAGGTCACAGCGAGCAAAATAATTATGGCCAAGTGTGCGTATTTATTCATTCAGCAAAGTTAATCTCACCGTGCTCGATGGGATACTTCAGCGCCAAATCTCCACGCTTGGCCACGGCTTCATCCCCAACGAAAGCATCCTTCTTCGCATCCCACCAGGTGCCCCTGTCTTCACCACCGGGGCGACGACGACCAACAATGCTGGGAAACGCAGCACTTGGCTCGTTATCTCCAGCGACTCCGGCCTGGAATATAAGGCTCACAGTGCATTAGACGGAAAACACGAGCATGATAAATCGACAATGCCAATGCTACTCACCTTCATTGTGCCGGATCCGTTGTCGATCACAACAGCCTGCGTGTCGTCCATGTTGAACAATCTTCACTGTGGAAGGACATTACCCAAAGCGAAAGAAAGGAATAATGAAATCGCCTATGCAGTTCAGTGATCATGCCTAGTGTGTTCAAAGATCGCCTATCGCCAGTCGTGCTTACCAGGCCGGGAGGAGGAAGGTAGGGATGACTTGCTGTGAGTGCCAAATGAAATCAAGGCGGAAATAAAAAGCGCTACAATACCTTTCTGTTGCACCTCAACAGAAATCTTCGGGGTGTAAACAAGGGGCGACGGCCATTCGACAGTTTGTACAGTATCTTGACTGCTGACTGGATCTACAAGAGCCACGCCTAACTAGGTAGGGGATGTAAGTGTACCAGAAGGTGAATGACATCCATGCCGTCCATCCGTCCCGCGGATAGATTGTGGGATGTCATCTGACGGAGGTCCGATGACATCTCCCAGCAGAGGATTGACGGCATCGGCAGAAGGAACGAGAGTGGGGCGGAAGGGGGGAGTGGACGAGGATGGGCTAGTACAGACTGGGCAAACGCTTGCCTGGCGCGCTGTCCGGACATGTCAAGATGAAAGTTCCACGACCACGAACTGTTGCATCACGGCGAACAAGGGATGACGGCGCACATTCGTATTGCTTGGCGACCTTCACGAAAGAGCGTTTATAATTTCGCTGTTGGTATCCTCCCCACGAACCCATATCTTTGTGGGCCATTTTCTACGGCATTCGAATTTTGCCAGTGCAATTATGCAGATTCATACAATAGACGGCCGTAGGGGAGAGAGGCTGACGGATTGTTATCTGCCCGCGGTCAGAAAACAATAAACCCCAGATGGATGGCATGCGACTGGGGAAGCCTCAACCCTGAACACGGGTAACCGCGTAATTTTGGCGGTAGGCCGACAGTTTTCCCTAAACCGTTTATTGCAAGCATTCGCAAACCTGCACTAGCGAAATCTGCATGCGTCAGCTAAAAGCCGAATCTTTGTTGAAGCGAGTAGGGGGGAATGTCGGCGACAGAGAATGTCAGTTCCCCGACCAATCAGAGTTCAGCCGAAGATTCGTTACAGTTCAGAAAAATATTCAGCCAGAATTGTTGGTGATTTTTACAAGTTTCTACACAGCCAAATCAGCTATATTAGAAAAGTCCTATGGCCCCAGAATTTTTGGGTTAAATAATCTTTTTTGGCCGCTTTTCGGGAGTTACCCTGATAAAGACAGTGTAAAACCTGGTGGTTGGATGTTCTGGAGTCCACCTTGCCCGTGGTTACACATCGCCGCTCGTCGCCATACTGTCGCCATGGACAGACTTCTCGCGCCGCATCCCTCTCAAGCTTTCTCCTGGTCATCCGCCGTCTCACCCGGCGTCCATCGCGCCAACTCCGCAGTTCCCGGAAGAACCGCCCCTCCTTTCAACACTCGTTGCGGACGATTACGGCCGACTCGACGCGTGCGCGGGGTAGTAAAATGCTCGGCGCGCAGGTGAGACGCCGCCGCGGATCGCGCTAGCTGCAGATACACCAGCATCCATGCTTTTCCGCAGCTCCCTCCAGCCCTCTGCGGTCAGTTGCCCTCACTCACGAAATCCCTCCCCCCCCCCCCCCCCCCTCCTCCTTCCCCCCTCTTACCCCCCCTCCCTCCCCCCCCCCCCCCCCCCCCCCCACCTTGATCCTGCAACCCCTCCCCCATTCTGTCCATCCCGCCAAATCCTCCCGTCCGCGGCAGCGGGGGCGACGGAAGCGGCGGGTTGGTGGGCGCGGTGACGGCAGCAGGGCAGGCGCTGTGGGGCAAAGGGCTGCCGCCGGGGCTCCTCGTGCAGGTCTCTTTGCTCTACTCCTTCCCGCCTGCGCTCCACTAGCAGCTCTCCACCTGCCGAATCTCTTGTGCGAAGCACCACTCCTCACGATCCTGCCCGTACCTCCCATGCTCGCCATGCTCGTCGTGCACCCTGTGGCTGCTCGCGCTGTGTATGCACGCTTGCCCACACACGTGCGAATGACTTGGTTGCAATGCATGCATACGTGCATGTGTGCGTGTGTCGGTGTGCGTCTGTGTTTGTGTGTGTGTGCGCGCGCGCGTGCGTGTGTGTGTGCGTGTGCGTGCGCGCAGGTAGCGCGGGAGGCATGGGGCAGCGGGTGGCGTGTGATGATGGCGCAGCTCGCACCCAGTGACGACGCCGGCAACTACAAGCGCACCCCCAGCGCATACCGCCACACCATTCAACCCCCTCCCACCACTTCCACAGCCAGCAGCAGCACAGGTAGCAGGCAGGCAGGCGCATTCCCATCAGAGGCAGGGCGGTACCATCTGTACGCGGCGCTGTCGTGCCCGTGGGCGCACCGCACGCTCATCGTGCACGCGCTCAAGGGCCTGCACGCCGCTGTCCCCCTCTCCATCGCCCGCCCCGGTGACGGTGGCCTCTGGGAGTTCGTGCCAGCGGGCGCGGGGCTAGGGGAGAGTGCGGTGGCGCGGCCAGGGAGTGGGAAAAGGGGTGAGCGGGGAGTGGGAGGGGAGGGAGAGGAGGGAGAGGAGGGGGAGATGCTTGTGCCCACGGAGGACCGCGCGGGGGGGTGTGCAAAGCTGAAGGAGGTGTATGGGAAGCAGGAGGGCGGGTACGATGGGCGCTGCACCGTGCCCATGCTGTGGGACAACAAGACCAAGTGAGCCAGTCCACATGCGTGGGTGGGGAAGGGGCAGAGGGGGGAAGGGTTGGGGGGGGTATTCGGGGAAGGTTGGCTGGTTTGGATCGGGTTGGGAATGGGCGGGATGGAAGCTTTCTCGTCACTTCTACCCCGTGCCTCCATTCTTTTCTCCACGATTCTCTGTCTACCTCATTCCTATCTTTACAAACGCACCCCATATGCCACATTCCTCCCTCCCTGCCTCTATTCCCCTCCTGCCTCACCTCCTGGCTCTCTTTTCTCACCTCCTGCCTCTCCTCTCCTGTACAACCCCCCCCCCCCCCCCATGCGTGCAGCCGGGTGGTGAACAATGAGAGTGCGGACATCATTTGCATGCTCAACGCATCCTTCAATGACTATGCCGCCAACCCACACCTCGACCTCGCACCACCGGAGCTCGCCCAGCAGATGGCAGCATGGGACGAGGAGATCTACAACAACGTCAACAACGGCGTCTACCGGTGCGCTGCCACTGCACTTCTGGCCAAAATTTTCATCCCAGCAGACATGGCTGCTCTTCTGCATGCTATTCTGAAAAATTACATGGCACCATTCTATAATGTCCCAATCCCCGTTCTTCCTCGTCACCTCACCTCACTTGTAACACGACCTCCCCCTCCCGCTTCTCCACCCACTTCTTTTTCCTCTTCTCCCCGTCCCCCGTTCCCCATCCTCCTTCTCAGGTGTGGTTTTGCCACGAGTCAGGCGGCATACAACAGGGCAGTGAACGACCTGTTCACCACTCTGGACCGCATTGACGCGCACCTGGCCACGTCTCGCTTCCTCTGCGGGCCCGCCCTCACACTCTCCGATGTGCGCCTCTTCACCACGCTCGTGCGCTTCGATGCCGCCTACCACACACTCTTCAAGTGCTCGCGCAGGAAGATCGTGGAGTATGACAACATTCATGCCTACATGCGCGACATCTTCCAGGTAATTACCCAATGTATCTCCTCCCCCACCCCCACCTCCTTTCCTCCCCCTCCTTCCCCACACCCCCCCATTTTCCCCCCTCTCGTTCTTTCCCCCCACTTTCTCCCTCCCCCCCCTTGTTGTTTTCCTAGTGTGTTCTTTCCCCCCATTCCCCCCCTTCCTATCCTGCGCAATCCCCTCCCTTTCTGCTTATCAATCCAGTCACCACAATTCTCTGTCTGCTCTTTCTTCTAGGGTTTTTTGTTTGTTTTGTTTTGTTTTTTTTTTTTTTTTTTTTTTTTTTTCACCCGGTTCATACCGTAAGCGACTAGTGTATCAATGTCCCTTTGCTGCACACCAGATGCCTGGAGTTGCAGCCACGTGTGACATTGAAGGGGTGCGAGACAACTACTTTGGTCAACTCTTCCCCTTGAACCCTGGGGGCATCATCCCTGTGGAACCTCTCAGCTGTGACCGCTCCCAGCTTTGGAAACCACATAATCGGCAAGACCTTTTGCATGAGTAGATCCAAGAATAGGTACCTGTAATTCTGTTAGACGGGTTATTTCTTTCCTGAATACAAAGAGGTTCCACTGAATACTGAAAGGTGCTAAAACGCGGTTTGCTGATAAGGCGCACCTGAAAGGTGCTGAAGCGCGCGCAGATTATCATCGCGCAATATAAGAGCGTGTTCCTACGGATCCTTATCAGGCTAACCCCTTGTCAGGCTGGTGCATGCGAGCAGGCCCTCAGATTCGTTTTTGGCCTGTCTGATTCGTCAGACTAGTGCACAAATTTAGAAAGCTTGCTTTCTCTTACTTATCATTTGGCATCGTTCTCATTTCAGCTGGCAAATTACAACATGCACCTCGAGCTAGGAAACAGAAGTGCTAGTACATGTTACTATCTGCGTATCAATCATTGTACTAGCGATTCATCATGCTACTTGATGTCTATCATGCTACAAGCTATCGATCTTCTCGTTTAAGCAGCGTCGATGATGCCCGTCAGTGTTGGGGCGGGGGGTGGGAGAGTTGCATGAGCCGTTGGAAAACGAGAGACGTGGGTGGAGGGAAATGAGCTCCAACCCACGATTTGTAGTTGGAGAAGGGCGTTTAGCGCGCTTCGACGATGCCAAAACATGCGTTACAAGCAGCTGCGCTTTCGAAATACGTAATTTTGAAAAACACTTCGTGTGTTTAAAATTATAATATTTAGAAAGCTTGCTTTCTCTTACTTATCATTTGGCATCGTTCTCATTTCAACTGGGGTTCTTGAGACATGGGTAGCCGGGGCTTCTGATGACGGATGAGTGCCTCTGCGTGCTGTGCTGAGGACGGGGCATGATTCAGGTCCTGCAACTGGTGGGAGGCGTTGATGAGATGTTCGGCATTTGGCGTGACGTACATCTCCTTGGCTGCGTCACT